TCCTATTACGCATAACAACACAGCATACATCCCATCGTCTCTGATGCCCGGGTAAAAACATAGCTTATTTCTTATTTTGTGTGCAGGGCAGAATATTTGTCCCCTTGACTTGATTTTCATACGAGTTAACGTTAAGTTTTGACATTCACGGAGTATTTTTCTTTTCAAACGATACAGAAAATGTGTGCTGTCATTTAATGTTAAATATATAAATCAATTAATTGATAGTGAATTGACATAAACTCGAATTAACAATTAATTATGGCTGTTACCATTACAATCTTACCATTTTACCATTTCTTTGGCATTTTGACCCTTGCTGTGATTCATTTCTAAACCTGGTGCAGGTAAATCATAAAACAAAATTAGCCTACCAATATTGTATCAACTGTTAATTGTGCAATTGCTGCATCATTTAAAGGTACTGTGGACACATTCCCACTACTAAATTCCTGTATGGGGAGACTTTTGGCAATTCGTCCCTAAAGTACTTCCAAAACATCCGATCTGCAATGATGGCCTCTAGCAAAAGCTCTTACAATAGTGTGCCTCTGAGCTCCCATACCCAAGACAGTATCTTACCCTACTGGGTCCGGAACAACATTGATTTCAAAAGGCAGAAGGAGATCACGGACTTCAACATGGTAAGAATGAGAATTAAGGTGTGATTGTGGATCATGTTCTAAACTGCTCTCTTTTGTCTCACTGATTAGTCATGCATATTTTGGACTTCTCTTTTCCCCAGTTGTCACAGAAGCACAGGGAAAATTACAAAGATAAGACTGGCACTGTGCAGCCTGTCAATTACTTTGTCATGCCAGAAAAAGAGAAAAAGGAGCTTAGAAGATCCCTCCAGAGTGAATGTAAGAAATGAACTTTACTAAGCCATCTCAGCTATTAATTAAAATAACTATGTTACATGTTATCTTTTAAGTGAAAACCAAGAATTAAGTATCTTCAGTGTATGCCTATATGACACATTTGAATATATGATATTTGTGTGTGTGTGTGTGTATGTGTGTACCTGGTATTTATCACGTTATGGGGACCAAATGTCCCCACAAGGATAGTAATACTAGTAAATTTTGACCTTGTGGGGACATTTTTGAGGTCCCCATAAGGAAACAAGCTTATAAAACATACAGAATTAGTTTTTTTGAGAAAGTAAAACTGCACAAAGTTTCCTGTAAAGGGTAGGTTTAGGGGTAGGGTTGGTGTAGGGCAATAGCACATACAGTTTGTACAGTATAAAAACCATTACGCCTATGGAATGTCCCCATAAAACATGGAAACACAACATGTGTGTGTGTGTGTGTGTGTGTGTGTGTGTTAATTATGTATATAATATTTAATTATATAATGGACCTTTTTCACATTAGCTTGAATAGCAGTGAATGGGAGAGTACCACAAATATAATTTTTGCATTCCCATTTGCTCAAATAGCAAAAGAAAAACTCCATGATAGTGTTTTCATGGCTTTCAATAAAAGGAAAAAAATTGAGAGAGACTGATAACGGCTGTCAGAAGAGAGAACGATGTCAAATTTACCGTCCCTCCCATAGACGCTGCATAAGAAACACCCTCACATTAGCATAAACTGTTTTTTTGTAATTTGATGCAAAGGTGATATAATACAAAGAATAGTGTTATAAATGTAGATACATTTTTTTAAAAATACAAATGAAAATCTTTTGAGGATTTACGATGCTGATGACCGTTAAACGCGTCATCACAGTCTTGTGAAAAGGGTCCATTGTTTAAGTAATTGATTGTTTATAATTAACACACATTAAGAAACGAAATAGGGCTAATTTTAAGTGTAATCTCTAAAAACTCGTCTTGGGCTCTCTTATTCCTACACCATCTCACACGGCTCTAATTGCCTCTTTCATGGTCCCCTGAGACAGTCAGAGACTATGGCGGTCCAGTGATTGTTTGTGATGGATTCTTATTTGCTGATGCATTACTCGGGGTTAACTGTACTTGGAGCTCTGCTGTCTCTAGGGGTTTTATGTTCAGTTATGTTCACATTTAGCTGCTGGGTAGTTTCTGGAGTCATAAAGAATTTATGTACGAGTGAAACTAGAGCTGTTGTTGTTGTTTTAAAATATTGTCTCCTTTTCTTTCCTTCTTGTCAGTTAATTAAAGACCATGCCATATCAGATGGAAGTAGCAGTCTGATGAAGTCTAATGGTGTCCACCACAAACAAGTCTGCCTCAAGGGATCACTAATTACATTTATTGTGTTTAATAAATAAATGAGGAAAATATGTTGCTCTTTTTGTGCCTCTTGGATTATAATACATAATTTATGTAGTTGCATACATCCATAGGAATGTCTTTATAACATAATGTTTAAAGGCCAATCATATGATATGATAATGTTCCACTGGCTATTTGTTCTTTGCAGTGCATGGGTACCCTACACTTTAAAATCGTAGTTTAGACGTTGACCTATTTTATAAATAATTAATTTTAGAGGGTTCTGTCTTGAGAGAAGCAGCTGAGACACATTAAATGAAAAAAATTCTAAAATAAAAATGGACTCAAATATATTGCCTTGCAGAAGTTGATGAAAATTAAGCAAAAATAGCATAATTAAAAACATGCCGACTACAGTGAATCGCAGTAGGCGGGAGTTTAACCAATTAGAAAACTTTCTGAGATGAGAGACTATATGTGTAAAAAATATAAAAGACTTACAGGACAATTTTTTAAGTAATGAAGCAAAATGGCAAGTAATGTATTTAGAACTGGCTTTGTGAGAACGTCAATGGCTGTTAAATGACAGAACTGGTATCATCTGAATAAGCAGGTAGGCCTACTCTTGGTTAATTTGACATAGGCCTATCTTTGTATTTTACGTGAATCTACAGTTTCGAGATAAGTTTCTAATTTCTAAACAACGTTCATGTGTAGCAGACAAATACCAGTATATTACTGCGGTCAAGCCAGCCGCACTTTTTTGGCTTGCGCATGTAATTGTGCACTTACTGTGCTGAGAGCAGTCAAAATGCATGTAAAGAAGCTGTCATACCGACGTTTCCTTTATAATTAGCTTATTTTAACTTTTATTTTTAGTTTGTAAATACATTACTTTTGTACATAAACGTTTGTATTGTACATTAATTATTATAAATGTTAATATTAATGTTTGTGTGTGTGTGTGTGTGTGTGTGACAGCAAAATGCGTCCCAGCACTTCCACTGTGTCCAATATTGTTCCTTTAAAGGTTAGCTCATTCTTTCAATTCATATGTGTTCAGAGTGAGCCTGACTATCACTGTATTTATTTTCAAAACATTTTACTGTATAGTTTTGGAGAAAACTAAAAGCAAACTCACCCAAAACATCAAACTCCATTGTTGCACTTTGATTATTTCCGCATATTCCAACACTCATAAACAATGTTCCTTTAAAGGTTAGCTCATTCTTTCAATTCATATGTGTTCAGAGTGAGCCTGACTATCACTGTATTTATTTTCAAAACATTTTACTGTATAGTTTTGGAGAAAACTAAAAGCAAACTCACCCAAAACATCAAACTCCATTGTTGCACTTTGATTATTTCCGCATATTCCAACACTCATAAACAATGTTCCTTTAAAGGTTAGCTCATTCTTTCAATTGATATGTGTTCAGAGTGAGCCTGACTATCACTGTATTTATTTTTAAGGCATTTTACTGTATAGTTTGGGAGAAAACTAAAAGCAAGCTCACCCCATAATGATAATAAAGGGGGCAACAATACAGTTTGATGTTTGGGGTGATTTTGCTTTTAGTTTTACATTTTAGAATACATATGAATTGAAAGAATGAGCTAACCTATAAAGGAACACTTTTTATGAGTGTTGGAAAATTGGACAAGTGCAAGGATGCATTTTGTTGTTTGGGGTGATTTTGCTTTTAGTTTTCTCAAAAACTATACAGTAAAATACCTTGAAAATAAATACAGTGATAGTCAGGCTCACTCTGAACACATGAGCTAAGAATGAGCTAACCTTTAAAGGAACACTTTTTGAACACGTATTGAAATATTGGACACAGTGCAAGTGCCAGGACGCATTTTGCTGTCACACACACACACACATACATACATTTTATGTATACACACACACACACACACACACAAACATTAAATTAAAAAAACTAATAATATAAAACATTAATATTAACATTTATAAACATTAATAAATTATTTATAATAATGTACAATACAAACGTTTATGTACAAAAGTAATGTATTTACAAACTAAAAATACAAGTTAAAATAAGCTAATTATAAAATAAAACGTCGGTATGACAGCTTCTTTACATGCATTTTGACTGCTCTCAGTAAGTGCACAATTATTACACGCGCAAAACTTGACTGCTTGACCGCAGTTGGATATTTATATTAGATCATGAGACAAAACTCAAATTTACAGATGAGATACAGATGTTGAAAGATACTACCTCAACTGACGATAACTGCTGTTTGACTGTATTGTTCCTTCGTGGTTGTTTTCGTAGAAACATTTTGGTTACTCTTTCACATACATTTTGAAAAATGAGGGAGGTGGGTACACTGCAGTGCTCTTTGATTTTCTCGTCTTGTATAGTCCGCAGAAATTTGTGGAGAACGCATATAGAATTTATTAACCATGATTTTAGAGCTGAATATAAATGACAATACTGATACTCAATAAACACAATATAGGCTACTTATAACACAATTACGCTAATGAAGTAGGCATATTAACACGTAGCTTACAGAATGAGGTTTGGGTAAACAGGCTATAAAAATAAACGGAGCACGATAAGTGGGTTCTACATCAGAGGAAGTGTGTTTCCAAAGATTTTCCATCGCCTTGTTCTGAACATATTTGGGTATAGCCCCTAGTCCCATTCGTCCCCAGAAGAGGGAGACAACGTCTGAGAAAGAGCGCACAGACTGACGGTAGCGGGCAACTGAGCATCAGAGCATCCCATAGCCTTCCTTCGCTCAGTGTAGCGGATCGCGTAATACTGAAGCACTATCTGCAATGTCTCCTGCACGGGCACGAGCTCTTCTCGGGCTCCTGATCACACTTTGCACCCAGAGCCCACTACTGTCGGGTAGGTCAATCTGCTTATCTCTATTTAAATAGTAGGCTAATTCACAAAATCAAACATTGTATTTTATTAGTAGAAATGTAGAACTATTATACAAATATAATTCGTTAAGTATATTTGTCTAGTATAATTGCCAGGGCTTTCTGTAATGATGCTGTCATCTTGTACTGTAAAGATTATTATTTCATAAGCACTTATGACAAATAGCTCTATTGAATTAATCACCTGCGGTTTGTGAATCTGGAGGTCTAAGTCCTGTTTGTTTTATCACAGTGTGCGTGGAAACCATGTGCCAAACCTTTATTAAACATTTCAAGCAGCACTAATAATGCATAATGGGTGAGACAGCAGCCTAATTGAACATCTGAACCACAGGCAGGTGCCTATCTCTCTCTCTCTCTCTCTCTCTCTCTCTCTCTCTCTCTCTCTCTCTCTCTCTGTGTGTGAGAGAGAGAGAGAGAGAGTACAAATATACATAATTGAAATGCTTACTGTATAACTTCTTAAACTGATGGTGGTGATGTCACCTTTGTAGTTAATTTCTGTAGCTAATTTAGTAGAGGTTGCCAGGAGTGCACAACAACCACAGAATATTAATTTCTGTAGCCAACTGTTAAATAAGATATTTGAATGATGCATATATAACAAAATATGACCAAATTTGGATTCCCAATTGGATTTCCAGTTCGATTCCTGATACAGACAGACAGACAGACAGACAGATAGATAGATAGATAGATAGATAGATAGATAGATAGATAGATAGATAGATAGATAGATAGATAGATAGATAGATAGATAGACAGACAGACAGAAAGACAGACATACAGATAGATAGATAGACAGACAGACAGACAGACAGATAGATAGATAGATAGATAGATAGATAGATAGATAGATAGATAGATAGATAGATAGATATAGACAGACAGACAGACAGACAGCTAGACAGATAGATAGATAGATAGATAGATAGATAGATAGATGGACTCTAAGTGCAGATTTATCAAATTAGAGCCAGTAGGAAGTACAGTTAACCTCTTTAAAAGGTCATCAGGGAGTGTAAAAGCACAGATGTATTAGACATTCTTTCACTTTCAGCTCTTCAAATCAATTTTAGCCACGTTTTCTCTCTCCTCACATCTTTCTTTCACTCTGCCTGTCCCTCCTAATTCTGAGGAGAATGCAGTGGAGCAGAGGAATCTTGGATTAGAAAAGTGGTAGCTAAATCCTACTGAGCTTTTTTTGCTGCCACGTTACAACGGGCCTTTTTCTTTCTCACTTGCTCTTTCTCAGTGTTTTGGAAATGTTCTTTATATGAGGTCACCCAGTGCAGCCTGGGACTGCCATCAGCAGCTGCATATTATCCATTATTCTTCTCTTTCCTCTTCTCTCCATCTTCAACAAAACAAAATACATCCAACACAACTAAATCTTAAGCCACCAGCTGCTTAGCTTTACTGATTTCAAGCCAAAAAATAAACACACACATACACACACACTTCTATATCGTTTAATGGTGCCCAACTGCAGCTTCAAACCCATTCCAGACATCTGCTTGACAGATAAAATATATATTGGAAAGAATGAGTCTCAGGATTTTGTTCCACAACCCTGGACTTTAACATCACGTCTGTTGTTATTCCGGTAAGAATGAGCTTGTGTTGTCAGGTAAGAGCTCTGCCAGAGAGTGAGAGGAAGAGAAGAATCATGCCCTGACCAGCTACTGGAATTTAATCTTGCTCAGATTTTCACTACGGAATTTGCGGAAAGTCTTTGATTGACGTAGGCAAGGCTGGAGGGTTTGGAAACTCAGTCTATCGATTAGTGAGTGTGCTATGCTACAAGACGCCAGCATGTAGTTGGCACAATGTCCACACTCAACCTGTCACTCAGGTGTTTAAGTATTGTCTATCATCAGATGCCCTCCTACGGAACACCTGGGTATTTTGTAGCTCAGGCTGAAAAGTTTGTGTAAAAGCACTAAGCTATTGTTGACTTAACAATAATACACTCTAAATGCTTCTTGCATTTGTTTGAATGTCATCCAGGCACCTGAATGAAAATAATAAGCAAAGAGTATGTTTGTGAGAGTCTGTTTATGCCTTTCATTGAGAAAATTATGTCAGAGCAGCAGGTGCTTGCCCTACAGGTTTTTCTATGGGTGTTTATAAAAAAGACAATTCAAAAGAACTGACAACAGGACCACAGGGCATTTACTTTCACCTTCCTAATAAAGGAATGGATAATATAAATGGCCCGGGGACAGCGTGAAAGAGTTTTAGAACAGCTATTGGGGCAGTTCTTACGTTCCAACAATCTTACATTTGTTTTAAGTATATGTACATCTGATTTTATGCCTTGCTATTCTAAATATTTGGTTTTCTGGGATTTATTGAACAGTGATTTGCAAAGTCTGCTGATGGAAATACGTCATCAATCTAACTGGCTTACATCGAAATGTCAGAATTGCGATAGTAAATTGTGATAGTCTTGGAAACATAGGTTAGAATGGGTTAAAAATGACAACGTTTATTTTTTACAGCTGACATGAAGTTAGATTACAACATTTCCAGCTATTACTGCAAGCTAAAAAAAACTGATTATAATTAATTTGACAATCTACTAATGGAGAACATTGCTGAGAATGTCCTTATCTGACATTACACATATAAAAAAGCAGTCATCCACTTTACCAGGGGTTCAGTGCAAATTTTTTTGTACCCTCAACATCTTTAGGGATAATATCATCAGTCTGTGCTTTTATATAATCTAAACAATGATAACATAACTGTCACTACTGCAGCTTTGTCTGATTCTCCATCAGGAGGCTCGGGGCCCACTAGGGGGCCTCAGCAAACGTCTAAGTGAACCGCAAGAAGATTTCAATTTATTTTAATAAAAATGTTTTTTTTCCATAAAAATATTTTTTTTATAAATAAAATAAAAAAGAAAGCTAACATAATTATTATTTTATTTTTGTCTCATCAAGAACTGTTGTTTTAACTGATTAACTGAGGAACAGGTCTTAAAACCTCTGGAATCATAAAATGAATCACAGTTAATATTTTTTTTCTATTGACTGCAGAATTACCCAAATTTGAGAACCACTGATCTAGGTGATGTCCACTCCCTAATACGAGCCTCCGTTAGTTTCCTCCAGTATAAAATGTTTATTTTTGGAGAAAGATCTAATTCTTATGTTTTACAAGTCTTGATTTAATCAAAATGTGAACCCACCCTACATCATAAATTTTAATATGGGCCAAGTCACAGACTGAGGTTTGATGTTTCTGAGGCCTGTGTGTGTGCGCAAGTTGTGGTAATTGCAATGACATGTGTGATGTGGTTCCAAATTATGTGGAGGGATGTTCCATTGCCAATATTACATTATAAAGCAGTGACCGAAAGGCATATGTCCATGTGTACACTTAAATAAGTGATAGAGATTGATCTCTCTCACCGGGTTTTATGCCAGAGTCATGCTGTTGTACAGTAAACAGGCACAGCGAGGAGAGATTTGCTCACTCCAACTCTAAGTAGGGTTTTAAAAACAGCCTGAGCACTCTAAAGAACTTCACACAGAGTTTCCAGTTTGATTAACTGAGGGTTGCAGCCCTTATTGCTCTTGTTAAAGTTGTAAGAAAGTTAACTTATATAACAGATCCACATTAAACACTATGACTCCCACTAAGCGAATAGTCATGCTAAGTTTACAATTTAGTTTAATTTTCCCTTGCAATACTTAATTCTGATTGGTCAATCACATAATCTGTCAAATGTTTATGCATAATGACCGCTAAACAGTATAACTGACCATTGTTCTAGGACAATTTCCTGCATAGCTGTGCATGGAATAATGTGTAGTCTGTCAGGCATTATTGCAAAATAAAACCCTTCAAGGTTATACAAGACTGCTTCATTTGGTGCTCCTGATTATTTTGTGACAATGACCCTCAAAATCCCTTGCTTAGTCTAATAGTAGCTAGTTAATTGTTTATTTGCTGAACTTTGCAACTGCTATCTTAACAAAAATGAACTCATCAGACTGTAATTGCAGTGTGATTGACAGACAGCTGTACTATCTCCCAGGTTCTAAGCCACTGCCGCCACGTAATGTGAAGCTGAGCTCTGTGGATAAGGGGTTAAAGGTCACATGGGATCCCCCCAGCGAGCTGGATGGACGGCCTGTTGATAGCTATAGCATCGGCTACGGGAAGTCCATGAAGTCACTGCGCTTCATGACTGTCGACAAGGACAGACGGTCAGAGTTACTGGAGGACGTAGGTAAGAGTGTAAATCATTCATTCTTGAAATGAAAAGCTAGAGACTCACATTGAGTACTTGCACACTATGTCAGGCTCTCATGTGCATGTTGTGTTGTTTTAGAGCCTGGAGTCCTGCATTTTCTCAAGATGAGTGCAGAGAATAAGGATGGGATGAGTAAACCTGTCTACAGGGCAGAGACTCCAGGAGGTGTGTGCTTGCATGTGTGTGTAGATAGAGATCTGCATGTTTCTCCATGACTATCTGTTCCCTTCACTGTTGTACATTGGTGCATGGATAGATAAAGTACAGTATGCATATAAAACACATATGCATGCTTTTAAACACATATGCATGCTTTTAAACTTCGCCAAAACGTTTGTCATCATTTACTCACTCTTATGTCGTTCCAAACCTGTAGGCATTTCTTTGCTTTTGCAGAACACATCTGAAAAACGTCTCTGTTTTGTGTCCATTCAATGAGATCAAATGTTGTTTGGACCTCAGACTTCTTTTGTTTTCTGCAGAAGTCATACAGGTTTGGAACGACATGAGAGTGAGTAAATGACACCAAACTTTTTACTTTTAGGGCAATTATCCTTTTAAGTATAACAAAGCAGGAATCCTTCAGCGTTGTTAACACTTAAGTTGCACATAAAATATATAACTTTAATTAGAATATCAAATATTAAAGTGTTCATAAACTATGGCGATCTACTACCGTTCAAATGTTTGGGGTCGGTAAGATTGTTTAAGGGTGTATTTATTTGATCAGAAAATACAGTAAAAACAATAATATTGTGAAATATGTTTACAATTTAAAATAAATATTTTGTATTTTTTATATATTTTACAATGTAATTTATTCCGTGATGACAAAAGCTGAATTTTCAGCAGCCATTACTCCAGTCGTCAGTGTCACATGATCCTTCAGAAATTATTCTAATTCTGTATGCTTACTTAGTGCTCATCAATCTTGAAAACAGTTTTGATACCTAATATTTTTGTGGAAACTTTTTTTTTCTTTTCATTTGCAATACTTTTTTCAGGATTCTTTGATGAATATGAAGTTCAAAAGAACAGCATTTATTTAGAAATAGAAATCTTTTATAACATTATAAATATTTTACTGTCACTTCATCAATGTAATGCGTCCCTGCTGAATAAAAGTATTAATTTCTTTCAAATCTAAATCTTACTGACCCAAGCAGTATGACCAGTGGTGTACATGTAAATTAATTATATATTTCTCATTTAAAACATTTGAAAATCGATAGAAGACAGCACAACAACGCTTTCTTTCACTTATTTTTAACTGTGGCTCAAGTGTACACACTCTCAGAAAAAAGTACAAAAGCTGTCACTGGGGTGGTACCCTTTCAAAAAGTACACATTTGTGCCTTATTTACTCCTAAAGGGTGCATACAAATACCTTAAAGGTACATATTACCTGAAGTGTACATTTTAGTACCTAAATGGTACCTTTCGAAAAAAAATAACGCCCCAGTGACAGTTTTTGTACCTTTTTTTCTGAGAGTGTTCCATGGATGTCATTAAATGTCTAAATTTACACTTTTATTAGCCTCATTAATTTAGACTCTAACACACATTATTATATGGTTTTTACAAGGAAAGTAGTTATAACTTTAATACTCACTGTGTTTTTCGTTCATTTCACAATATTAAGCCAGACTGAATGGCTAACACACACTCATGTGTAGACTGCAGGGTGTGGGGATATATGGTCGTTTCTGTTTTTCAAATAACTGGCATCAGTTGCTATTGAATTCCCCAAAGATAGAGCATGGCCAGTCCATGTTTTTGTATCCAACCCAGAGCTTGAGTCAAGAGCCTTAAGCCTTTTGTTGTGGTAGCCAGTCACTCGTCCAACGCACGCCACGTACATTTTTTCACATAAAGTTTTTTTCAGTACGTCCATGTCCCTCTCCAACAAACAGGATCTGGGCATATTGCTGAACATCCCACAGCATTTATCCCAAAACATCTGTCATAATAGAAAAGCACATTAATAATCCTGCAAACAGATCATAAATGTTCTTGGCTGAGGATGTTTTTTAGCAGTTGTAAACATATCTGGTGTTACAGCTCCTTGTTTTAAGGATAGCTGGATGTTTGATTGCAATATACATTACACAATTATGTGTAAATAATTAAGCTTTTGTTGAGTAATTCAGTCATAAAAGCATCTATAAAAAATAAACTGCTGTAAATAGTTGATAAGCTCACATATGTTTTACTTCTTTATTATGCACAGATTTAAATCAAAGCCAATAAGTGTTATGGTACCAATATATTGTCAGTCCTTATGTGTAACCACATTGCTCTTTTTTCCTGAAGGGGGAGAGTGGGTGAAACTGGATGGTTTTGCTGTCGAGCCTTTCAACAGAACCTCTCCAGGTAGGCCCAATACTTTCCCAGCCTATGAGTGATGCACAACAATTTTATAAGGAGTATTGCCAAGCAGGTTCAAGATAAACATAAAAGAGTTATGAGAAAAAAGTTAAGAGAACACAATTTTATGTCAAATCCACCCTTCTTGGAATGCAATTTCTACTTCAAACTACTTCAAGTTCTTTAAAAAATATAGTTGTGTCTGTACATTCTGTACATGGCAAATGAGAGATTTCAGACTTGCAGGCTTATGGAAAACATCTACATTGTTACTCCCTTGAGAAGGTTTAAAGTTCGGACATGCGTTTGGATGCCAGAGACCTCCGATACCCCAAGTTCCTGGAAAGACAGTGGCAGTTTGTCAGCTGTGAATTTGTTAAATCAAAGCTTTTATTTCTCTTCTTTATGAATCCACTGAGCCCACTTGAAGCCAAACTCTGTACATGCAAGCCCTCCGAAGAGAAGAAGGAATCCTAGATTTAAACCAAATGAAGACTTTTTTAGTTTCTTACAATCTCAAGAGTAGAATTCCACAGATTGAATTACATGTGATCAATGGTCCAGCATACACTGCAAGTTGTAAATCAAACAGATTATTCAGTTTTTCTACTTCAAAGTTTCATGTTTAATTCAGTGTGTTACTTTGTAATTATTTGTGAAATTAACTAGCAGTTTCTGAGTGAAAATGGTCTCAAAGTAAATCCTACACCTACTGCACCTCTGACATAGACTACATAGATTTTGTTGCAAACATAAAATAGACAATACAGCTGAATGTTTGGTTTGGTAATGTATAAAAATATTTGGACACAGAAATACTGATTGCGGTCACTTCCTTAACATCTCCAGAAATGGCATTTCATTATTATTTTATTCCCTTGGTTTTCCCATAATGTTATCCAGTCCATGTTTGTTCTTTGCTATTGCTATTGTCATGATGTCACCATAGTGTTGCTCAAATTTTTCTCTGGCTTTGCCGCTGGGTTAACAAAAGACATATGCTTTATGCCATTTTGCTTGTAACCGTGATGTGGCAAGAATGTGGCAGGAAAAGCTTCATTTTGTTTCACAGCCACCATTGTTGTGCTATCATCTCTTTGTCATCACTTTGGAAATCAGTGGAAATCAGTGGGACTAACCTTTAAGAGCAGGTCCACATGTAGCCCAGCTGAGTCCACACATGGACATGGTAACTCTGGTCTGGTTCCTGCAACCTGGAACTTGTTATCGCATCCGAAACCTCCCACAGAGAGAGAATTCATGGAGATAATTCGTACAATCAGCGAACAAATCAGACCGGAGGGGTGGGAAAAGAGAACGATGTGGCATCATGGATCCAAGACATGAACTTGGAAGATTGACACTGTAAAAACAACAAGAAAGGGAAAGAGTTAGAGAGGGGTGAGCTACTATGTTTCACCCCTGTTTCAAGGCCAGTGATATGTAAGCCTGCCTCAGCTGTGTTGGCTGGACTCTCTGAATGGGAAGTGGGAATAAGTGTCTGTTTGTGTGTACAAAGGAAAAGGAGTTGCTGTTACTATCATTTCAGTTCATTTTGAGACCTGACACTTCTTATTAACTTAAGTGTTAATAATTCTGGAAGAGCTTAAGCATTGAGTAAGTGATGCCAGAGCAATCATAGGACAGTCTTTAAGTGTGCACGTAAGGCATGCATTTAGCCAAAACCCTCACAAAAGGCTGAGCTATAAAGGATATGAAGCGCTTTATAGAAGTTATAAAAGATTGACTCCTTCCTCTCCTTCCTCCTTTTCTCCCTACTATTTTCATTCTTCAATCATCAAAATGATCTGACATTAGTGATGGGTGCTTTCAAAATACTGCTTCACGAAGTTTTGAAACATTTATTTTAACTGCTTTCAGGTCAGTTTTACAATGTAGGTTCATTTTTAATTCATTTAATTTTAATTAGTGCTGGGCAACGATTAATCGCGATTAATCACATCCAAAATAAAAGTTTTTGTTTATATAAAATATGTGTGTGTACTGTGTATATTTTATTATGTATTTATAAAGACACACACACATACAGTATATATTTTGAACATATTTACATGTATATATTTACTTTACTTTACTTTCCTTTATTGTCCACAAGTGGAAATTTGACTTTGGCTTCACAACACATTATAACAAGACCAATACAATAAAAGACACTTACACAATAACTCTAAAAGGTCAGATAGAATAAAATACCATACAATACATTTAGATTAATATAATTTAGATTATATGTAAATATATTTAATATATAAACATATTTTTCTTGAATATATACATGCATGTGTGTGTATTTATATATGCATAATAAATATACACAGTACACACAGATATATTATTTACACAAAAACTTTTATTTTGGATGCAATTAATCGTGATTAATAATTTTAATAAATAATTTTAACTAATTTTAATATGTGTATAATACAAAAAGGAGAATGATAATTAATTGCTTCTAATTGGCATATAGTTTGCCAAGCCCTGCATTTTACAGAATCGTGATTTTAATGGCATATACTTATTTGTAAATTGCATTTAATATATTAAACTTTCATCATAACATTTGCCATTGGTTTGTAAAAAGTGTCATCATACATGTTTGAGCATTTACACAGTTTTGATCAGCAGGTACTGTTAGTCTGTGGTGTTTGGAGCGCTTCGAAACACTGAATCATTTTGCGAAGTAATTGGTTGAGTTGATTCAAAGTTTTAAAAAGCCTCCCTAGTATGAACAATGCACATTCATATTAAAGCTAGTGTGGGCAGTTTTTGCACTACTAGTGTCATCCTCCCCCAACTCAAACATCACTAACACCGCTCTTACGGCTCTATAAAAGCGAAGGCGTTTTGCCTGTCTCAACAGGCAAAAGTAGACTACTTTCAAAAAAAGGTCCAACATATTAGGAATACGTTAAAAAAAGCGTTTCTGTTGAGAAGAAACTACGCAAGTTCATTGTATCGATTGATTACTGAACTTTTCAACGCCACACTGGTTGAACTGTCACAATCAACCTTTAAATTACGCACAGACTCTAATGAGGAAGTGTGACGACAATCGATCATCTGAGAATGATTAAAGAAGAGAAAAAAAAACAGACGGATGGAGAAAGAGTGGGACTGTTTTTCATTATTCTCTCAGGGATGTACGGCACACCAGTGGGAGAGAAGGAGAGATGCGCGTGAAGCAGTGTGTTGAAGGAAAGAGAGGAGGAAGACTGTCTGGCTGTCTCATTCGCCTGCCAAGTCCTGTCAGATGGGGGATTACAGTAAAGCAATAAGAGAGAGGAAGTGAGAGTGCACATGACTGTAAACTGTGTGGCCCTGTAACTGTACTTACTTTAGCAAATCTCCATGTGTCTTTGTTATTTGCCAATGTTTTTGTTTTATAAGAGATTGCAAACATGAGTCGTCTTCTGTGAAGTATAATGGGATTTAAAAGTATGAGACCACATGTGAAAATGCTTCTTCATTCTTTTTTTTAATTGAATACAACTTTTTTGCTTTGCAAATGCTGTGCGCGTTGGTGTAAGCAAGGAAATTTGACCTTTTTTTACTAAAGGTGTTAACATTGTCAGCATCAAATTTGTGAATTTCTTCATATTTCATATATTACATGATTCAAAATTCTCAAACTTTGTTTCCGTGTTCAAATTCAATTTTGAATACCAAACTTTCAGACTTTATGAACCCCACTATGTTTGATAATGTAAAATAAACATTGTACAGTATTATCACAATGAAGTGATTTCTAATAAAGTCAAGACAATTGTGGACAGATCTCTTTCTAAAGCACATTTAAAACAACAGATGCTGGTCCAAAGTGCTGTACAGCATAAAATTAAAATAACAGCAGATTATTAAACTCCAAAGCCAACATTATTTGCTCTGTCTTTCTTTCCTTAGGCAGGATGGTGTCTATAACTTCATCACAGATTAACCCACGGCCCCCAACTCAGAGGACGGCACTAGGACAGCAGAGGGCCCCTCAGTCATCCTCAGGACCAGAACCCCCTCATCAAGTAGGACGCCTCCCTTTGCGACCCCAAAACAAACACAGAGTGGACCTCAGCCAGCACCAAGCAGACCAGCGCAATGCTAACAAACACAAACTGGGTAAGCACAAAAGTCTGGATGTTTGAAGGCTAATCTAAATCTAGGTTCAAATATTTGTGAATAGACCTCGGATTGCATGTCTTCAGTATGACCCATAGCAGGTGATGTGTAATGATACGTGGCCATATCTGGTATCCCCCCTCTGTTCGTAGCGTCTGAGTCCGTCTATGTGGTATCACTGCAGGCACCCAGAGCCCAGGGGAGGAGTGCACCCATCACCACGGCCACCATGAATAAAGTAACCCCAGGTATATCACAGATCACAGTGGTGCTAACCAGCACTCCATATTCAGTATTTTGACTCGCTCAAACCTAATATTTATTCTGTGTCATCCTTTTCCATCAGAGCCGGAAGTTGTGGATGAAGTAGAGGACATCACAGTTAGAGTATTGTCTCCTCAGTCTGTCCTTATCACATGGGTTGATCCACTTGTTGAAAAGAAGAAGGAAATACCAGGGGGATCCAGGTAAAAATTAATTATATCAAATGGTGGGCCAATTGGTATGTTGGCTGCATTATATACACTACTGTTCAAAAGGTTGGTAAGATAAGTCTCTTATGCTCAACAAGGCTGCATTTATTTGATCAAAAATACAGTAAAAAGAGGAATATTGTGAAATATTATTACAATTTAAAATGAATGTTTTTTACATTTACGTTTAATATGTTTTAAAATTCCTGTGATGGCAAATCTGGATTTTTAACAGCCATTACTTCAGTCTACAGTGATCTTTCACACTTCACATAATCCTTAAAAATCATTCTAATATGCATATATGGTGCTCAAGAAACATTTCTTATTATCATCAGTGTTAAAGCAGTTGTGCTGTTTAATGTTTTTGTGGAATCCATTTCAAAATCTTTTGAGGAATAGGAAGCTCAGAAGAGCAGCATTATTTGAAACGGAAATCTTTTGTAATGAATGAATTATGAATGTCTTTACTGTGTCTGTGTCATTACTGTGAATGACTTGAATGTGTCCTTTCTGAATAGTGACCCCAAACTTTGGAATGATAGTGTATATTTCAGTTTTAGAATCAATGTATGTGCAGGTATTACACTGTGAAATACAGAGAGAAAGGAGAATCTGCTCGATGGGAATACAAGGACACCACTCAGAGACGTCTCATAATTGAAACGCTCTCTGCGGACAGCATGTACGAGTTCTCTATTTGTATCTCGCAAGGAGATCAGAAGGGAAAATGGAGTGCATCTGTGTTCCAGAGAACCCCTGAATCAGGTTTGTTTACGCTCTCTGATCTCTAACTCAGATGTTTTGCTTAGTTTGCATAGCTGAGCAGACAAATCCCGATAGTATATTTATTATTATAGACATAATTATCTGCAAATTAATAAAGGTCAATGTCAGATTAAAAAAATCGTATTATAATAGTATTATAACAGAACAGTGTTCAACCTTACAAGATTATGTTTTATTGCATGTCTGAAAATACACTCGTTAATGAAGCAAAGGATAAACAAAAGGGTGTTTGTATTGTGTTGCACACCCATACAAATGCACAAAAACTCAAAACAATCTTGCCTTAGTTTTTGAAACCATGTATGCATGTTCTAACTGCCTATTTCAGAGTAATGCCACTGTTTACTGGCTGTTTGGAATTTTAGTTTGGAGTGATCGGAATGACCTCATTCCCATGGAAAACACAAACTGTCTGTTGTTCCCATCTGAAAAATCTCCAAGCAGAAAAAAATAAGTTCAAGAGAATACACAGTGCTCCATGTTGTTTGTATAACAATTTGTTTGTCAGTCCTAGTTTTACTTTCTCCCACATTTGTCTATGCAGCTCCTTCTGGCCCTCCAGAAAATTTTCAAGTAAAACCACTTCGAGGAAAAGGTACTGCTGTCACAGCCACCTGGGATCCACCTGAGCAAACAAATGGGCGAATAAGAGGTAAGACCACATGCTATCAATTCAGTAAGATCCATTTTGACCATAGGAAGAAATATTTGTATTTGTTTATTATGTAGTGCACCCAACATACTCTTGCCTTACTTATAGTTGTATCTGCATATTTAGCTGGGATAGGAGAAAGTATTTTATCACTGATAATATTTTATACAGATATCTGTCAACTCTTTCTATGACTTTTGGAATATGCCCTACGTAAAGAACAGAAAACGACTTTGGCATTTGGAGAGTAAAACATTACTAATTGTTGAACATATGTCTTCCCTGAAACCACTTATCTGTGTGCAGTGCCAAAATATATGGAATTGATAAACCTTCAGCATTACAGTTTCTCCAGCAGGCATGCAGAGCACCAGTCTGTCAAGCTAAACCTACACAAACGTACATGTGGAAAACACAAATTGTTCCCTGTTCATGCAAAAAGAACTTTTCCTTTTTAGTGTGTTATCCTTGGCCTAGATTTATTGGTCCAATCCTGGGTATTCCCAGTGTTCGTTGGAAAATATTCAGCTATGGTATCCAAATGAAATTGACCGTACTGATTGATTTGACATCTACTTCCAGAATACATCCTTTCCTATGCTCCTGCTATGAAACCGTTTGGCGCAAAGTCAGTTACATACCGTGGCACCACCACCTCTGCTACCATAGATGGACTTATGCCAGGTGACCGCTATATCTTCAAAATCCGTGGAGTCAATAGAAAGGGCCAAGGACCACAGACTAAAGCCATTATTGTTGCAATGCCTGCATGTAAGTATTCCCAACAGATGTTTTCCTCAATAAACTTTAGCAGCTTTACAGAAATTTGGTTACGACTGGTATCTTAATTTTGTCTCTAGCCAGCTCTACTCACTTAAGAAACACAGACAGCCACAAGACAAGTCAAAGTGCCTCCAAGACATCTTCAAACAATGAATCAGACAATCAGGAGCCAGATGAGATGGAAGAGTTCGATACTCAGACCACAACTCAAACACCACCCACCAATAGACGAGGACGCCCTCTTTCTCAAACAAGGTCCTATCACAGCATCTTCTCCTCTGTGAGGGGTTCAGTCAGAAACGGAGGTTCTAGCTCAAGGTCAAACTCACATTCTTCATCCACTAATGCCAAAGATAGAGAAGAAGATACAAATGAGGAAGAGAAGCCAACAGACAGTCCAACAGAAGAGGAAATAAGAGCAAATGAGGCTAATGAGGACACAAAACCAGAGAGCAGTAATAATGCATCACCACAAACAGAGGAACATTCAAAACACCCACATGACACTAAAGAATCAAAACCCAATAAATCTGAATCTGTCCCTAAAACACCTGAGGCCAAACGTCCTTCTTGGACCCCGCGCACATCCTCAATTGTTGATATTAGCAGATTAAGAAGGCCTAACTCTCGATCAAGAATGCGAAGTGAAGATTCTTCAAGCTCGTCGCAAAACCAGGAGTCTGCAGCTACAAGAAAGGACCTAAGAGCGGTCTCCTATCCTGAGGAAAAGAACTCATACAACCAGATAACTGTCACTGACAGGACACCTTCAGTGATCTCACCTCAGGAAACCAGGCCTGAACCAGGGAAAGAATCAAAATCAGAATCATCCTCATCTATCTCTTCTCCAACTTACTCTTCCTCCTCCTCAGCATCAACTTCGTCATCTTCTTCTTCCACCTCATCTTCTTCGGGATCTTCTCCTTCATCCTCACCATCATCAGCAGCAGCAGGTACAAGAAGGACTTCTTCCACATCAGGTCGAGTCACAAGTTCAGGATCTGGTGCCGTGTACCCTAATGGAAGAAGAGTTGGAATTTCAACTAGAGCTCAGAGACTTCATACAGGAAAGCACAAACCTAATTCATCATCATCATCATCTGCTTCTTCACAATCAACACTGCTAACAGGAACCAGGACAAACAGTCACGATACAACAGAGGTGCATGATACCAACCACAAGAACACGGAGCTAGATGACACAAAGGGTGAACAACCAACTGAAGAAACCAAAAAAACCCATTCTGATACAACTAAAGTGGAACACCCAGCACAAAAGGAAGATTATGATAACAAAGAAGAGAAAAGCAATAGTTATAGTTCCACTTCCAATTCTTCTTCAAGGACTAACTCTTTTACAACAGGAAGAAGTTCACCCCTTTCATTACCAAACCGAAATTCTAGGATAGTTACAGGGAGTCGCAGACAAGATGGGAGAAAACCGTGGAGCAGGACTGCCTCATCTATAGGTGCAGGAAGGCCAATTATTAAAGGATTTCCTTCTCGTTCTACTGCTGTGAGCTCTCGAGATACTAGTGATAAAACTTCACCCACAACATACCCTTCAAAGCATGAGGTTAATCCTGTCTCAAATAAACCTAGTGTGCTAAATAAAGACACAAATGCTCCAATAAGTTCCAACAATCCCAGTAATAATGAAGATGCAAAAATTAGCAATGATCATGAAGATGATTATCTTTACGATGGAAGCAGAGAGACCTTGGAGAGGCAAAGCAAAGACGCCACTTCAACTGCTGCACCTAAAACCACAACAACAACAACAACTGTGAGCGAACCTCACAGACCTGCCCAGAACTTTGAAAATGAAAGTACCAGTAGCAGTTCAAAGTCACTTCCTTCAGTTGCCCAAAGAGTCCCTATTTTGGCTTCTAATGGTCGGGTCCGCTCTCCTGTGGTAGCAAGCCGTCTGAAAGGTTTGCGGTTCCCTAGTAGGGTGTACCCAGTACAGCACAGAAGAATGGGCTCTGTTTCCACATCAGGCTCTTCATCATCTTCACCACACTCCTCTTCAGCATCATCATCTGCCTTCTCTCAAAACAGTCCAGCAGAATCACCACTTATCTCAAATCCAGACACAGCTGACAGGAGTAATACTAATGTTAGGCTCACCCCAAGTTCAGTTTCTCTCTCTTCCCATGGGCTGTCTGCTGGTGAAAGCTCTAGTGGGAATATATCTCCTGACTCTCGAAATCCAGTGATGGGATCGAGGCTGCGGTCCATTTCAAAGGAAAACACTCCAGCCAGTGGCTACAAACCTAGTTATGAAAAAGGTCAATATTGTGATGTCTGCAAGGATGTGCATGCTGTACGAACAACAATTTCATTGTGTGCATAAGTAAATTTTTACTCATTTCTCTAATTACATGTTCAGGCAAAAACGGACAGCCGAATCTCACAGCTGCAAATGGCAAAGCATCCTCAACATCTGATGAAAATTCGAAACCAAACGGAGTCCGACATATCACAGGTCCTGATGGAACAAAATGGGTGTGTTTATTTGCAGTGTTAATTATTGCTAAATTTGGCAGACCCGAATGTCCGTAAATCCATTAAGATGTTTTATAAATGATATTAGTTTATTTACTACAGGCAAACTATTTTATACACTTCTTTTCTTGTTCTAATGTTTAAATTACGAAAGATAAAGTGAACTTTTTACCCATAGCAGGTTTGTAGCACTGATAGTGACCTCTCTGATTTCATCAATGACTTTAATTTTGTTAAACATAAACGATAGAATGTAAGTTAAGATACTGTGATCACAATATCCATATCTATGGCTTCTGTTATGTCTGTTGTCTGGATACATTAATAAATCAGACAGTACTGCAGACCAAACTGAATTATCTTTAAAGTAAGCAAAGACAGTGATGTGAACAGTTTTGTCTCTCTAGGCATGGAAACTCCACAGGCAGGAACCTTAGGGACACTTATTCAAGCAAGACTGTTTGACTGTTGTCTCGCTTTGTTTTGAAAGAAAGATTCTTCTTCTTTATAAAGTTTCATTCACTCTTTTAGATAGTAGATCTGGATAAGGGTGTCCTAATGAATGAAAATGGAAGAGTTCTTCAGGATTCAAGAGGAAGACCCAGAAAAGTTGTCCTTGGAGAGGATGGCAAGACTATTTTTGGTGAGTGGCTTACAATTTTAACTGACAGTAATAGAAATATAGAAAGAAGAAGCCTGTTTTAAACTGGCTTTTATCTGTGTTTGCTATATTAGATGACCAGGGTAGCCCACTGGTAAACCAGGAAGGATTAGCATTATTTGGTCATGGAAGAGACAGTCGGCCTGTGATTAATCCAAGTGACAAGTACCTTACTGTGGGAGGAAAACCCATCGTGGGCTTGGACCGTCCTAAATCAAGGACTACAACCACTACAACCACGACTACAACAACCACTACAACCACAACTACAACAACACCAGAACCTACGACAACAGAAATGGTAACAGAAACATTGGAGCAGTCAACATTAGCTGCTGAGCCTACATGTCCTCCTGGACTTTATTCTCGACTGGACAAGAATGGTTTCCCAATATTGGATGCTGATGGAATACTTAACTGCTACTCCGAAGGTGAGATGAACTCTTTGCTGCCATACTAATCTCTAAGAATGAAGTAATATGATGTAGATTTAGTAATGCGTGTCGAAGCAAAAATGATGGAAAAGATACTCTTTAATTGGGACAGAAAAGTGTTTGGCCCAGTTGGCTCTTGTATAACAAGCCTTGTCACAGGAATGTAGTTAGTACCCACAAGACCTGATCCTCTGTAATTTAGAATCAAAAACACCAAATAACAGGTGAGATGTGCAACCACATTAAGGCCCACTTACACTAAGTGAACCCTCAGTGTTAATCCTAAAGCTGATGTGTGTAATTATTTCAGTGATCAAATATTTTCTCCTATCCCAACTTAATGTGGAGAAAATTGTAAGACATGTGTAGGTTGATTTTCTTGGTGCGTTTGTTTGAGCATCCTGACTAGCACAACATAGCAACATTATCCAAACCAGTGGCATAATGTTAGCAAGGATTATGTCTGATTATTGTCTGACTAGTAAAAAATATTCTGTTGAACTATTTTTGCATTTCTGTTTGGTGACGCTAGTGGCAGAATTTTCACATCTGAATGTAACAAATTATTGGGGAATGGGTTTTGGTTCTATTCATCAGTTGTTGATTGGATTTTGAGTAGTACTGTCAACCGATCAATCGTGATTAATCGCATCCAAAATAAAAGTTTTTGTTTACGTAATATATGTGTGTGTACTGTGTATATTTATTATGTATATATAAATACACACCCATGCACATATATATTTAAGAGAAATGTGTTTTGTTTATATACTAAATATATTTATATATAATATAAATTATATGAATATAAATATATACATGTAAATACAGGTAAATATTTTCAAAATATATACTGTATATGTGTGTATTTATATATACATAATAAATATACACAGACAGTACACACACATATATTATGTAAACAAAAACTCTTATTTTGGATGCGATTAATCGTGATTAATCATTTGACTGCACTAATTTTGAGATGTGGGATTTGCACTCAAAAATGATTGTGAGCTTTCTGTAAGTTGTGGAGGGGCGCAGATCTATAACATGTATTTATAATAGGAAGCATGCATTTAAAATAGGGTGAATTTTATGCTGACTTTAAATTTACATACGCTTATATTAAATATATAAAAATTTATATATGTGAAATGTGAATTCCTAATTCTTAAAGGTAATGCTACATTTCTATCTGATTGTGGGTCAAATATTAAGCTAATTGTTGATGTAGATTTGTTGAGTGCCACAGTCCAAATTAAATTGAGCCAAAATCGATGATTTATTTGTACCACTTGAGAACAGGATTCCTCTGTCTTCCACGTTCTGTGATGAGTTATGGTTATGGTCAACATGGCATCTGATGATGCTGTTAATAATGAAGATGGTATTGGCTGATTGCTTTGTTTACTGGCTGCCAAGCTACGAGCAGCTTGTTTTTACTTTTGCTTTTTGTATGGCCATTTGTACTCCATTTCGCTATTAATCTATTAAACCTTATAGATGCCATTTGTTTGCTGTTGTTCAAGGGGGTACATTCCTGCTTTTTATTCTTATTTTTTTCATACTAAGTGCCTTTATAGGTTGCAAAGTGAAGAGCTGTATGATTCAGTGTGCACAAACTTGGATGACCTTGCGTTTTTCTCACCTGATTCAAATGATTTTATTGTATTAGACTTGGAATCTAATTTCTCGCCAAAGAGAGCACTTTTCAACCTTTTTCTCCCCATTTATTCACTTCTAGCCCCATTAACATCCTTTACTGTGGTGTTTGCAAAGAATTGTGCAATCCAGTTACACTGAAAATGCATGGGAATAAAGGTGTTAATGCAATCAGGCTAAAATATCCAGATATGACACATATTTTGAAGTCAGGTGAAAAAGAGGCCCATTTTTACATAATATTTGACTTGGATGAAAGTGTCTGTTAAATAAATAAAAAAACTTTTATGGGATGTAACATCCAGGATAGTTAAAAAAAATTAAGCCGTAATAAGAAGTTACTAGTAAATTTGTAAACTATATTATTGATGAGTTTGAGGTCTGTAAGATCTTTTTGAAAGAAATCTCTTACGCTGATCAAGGTTACATATATTTGATCAAAAATATAGTAAAAACAGTAATATATTATGAAATTGTATTATATTATAGTTATATTATATAATTTAATTGCTGTTTTTATATATTTTAGAATGTGATTTATTTTGTGATGGTAAAGCTGATTTTTCATCAGCCATTACTCCAGTCTTCAGTGTCACATGATTCTTAAAGGGGTCATATGATGTTGCTAAAAAGAACATTATTTTGTGTATTTGGTGTAATGAAATGTGATTATGTGGTTTAAAGTAAAAAAAACACATTATTTTCCACATACTGTACATTATTGTTTCTCCTCTATGCCCCCACAACGAAACACACGGCGGGCTAGAGTGAGTGGAGGCCGGAGTCCTAGAGTGAGCGGAGGGCGGCGGGCTAGAGTGAGCGGAGGCCGGCTTGAGTGAGCTGAGGCGGACGGTCTTGAGAACGGTGCAGCCGGTGGATTCGACGAAAGGAGCGGCCGGCGGGCTTGCGGCAACCACATGTGATGACCCCAGGCTGGACTCCGCTTTGTCCACGGTGAAAGCCGATCCGGCGATCCACAGCGTGAAGTTGATGTATTTCCTCAGTGACCAGCACGGATCAGCTGCAGGCATGACGAAGCGGATATTGTCCTCTTTTGGAAGGCCAAACAAAGTAGTTTCGCTTTCACAACGAAACACACAGCGTCTCGACATGGTGGCAGCAACAATACTACAGCGAGAATAAAAGTTACGCCTTCTTTCTTTGTGTGAACATTTGGGCGACGTTATGCAAACCTTCCCACATCGTAACGTAGACATGTGGTGGGGGTGTGTTAGAACGAGCCGTTTTAGGTAGGCGTGGTTGACTCTTAACTTTTATAAAGAATATCTCTTTGGATTTGAGACTTTAGTCTTTGCAAATTTACAAATATTCTTTATGCACCACGTACTTATAACACTCCAAAGAGAAAGGAAAAATTGAAATCGCATCATATGACCCCTTTAAGAAATCATTCTAATATGCTTATTTGGTGCGCATTTCATTTTATCAATGTTGAAAACAGTTGCTTTTCAGGATTCTTTGATCAATACAAAATCGAAAGAACAGCATTTATTTGAAATATAAATATTTTGTAATATTAGTCACTTTTGATCAATTGAATGCATCCTTGCTGAATAAAAGTATTAATTGCTTTCAAATAAAAAAATCGTACTGACTCCAAACTTTTAAATAGTAGTATACTGTCAATTGAGAACAAACAGGAGGATGAGAGGAAGAAAAAAATATGACTTTAACCTTTAGCCTCTCTATTTGGATCATGTTATTCTAAGTTTACTTTCTATTACTAGGTCTCTCCCCTATGGCCAGAGTGTAACTAACCTTGTCAACCCTCAGGTCCGCATCTAATACTACAAACCATGTGCTGGTAGAGGCTATTTTAGAGTCCATTGACTTGAGGGGCTCCGACGGTTCTTTCATGTGGGTAGCTTCTGTAGGAAATATTTGAGAATGCCTGAGTGAAGGTATTTAGACTCAGCTCTATAAATTATGGCTGAATGTCTGTGTGTTTTGGCAACCTTCCCGAATTCTTCAAGACTCAGTATGTGTGTTAGGATAAAGGTGTATGCCTGAATGAGAAAAATTATTTAAAAAAAATAGTTTTATTTGTGATTGCTATTAGGATGCTATTCCAACCAATTCCCAAATAGTGCAATTGTATTCCACTCAGCAGTGGATTAGTGCAATCATGATGTGACCCTATGCAACCAATGTTACCTGACTCTAGTCAAGCTTGTTCAGGTTCAGCATGAATTCGTTTACCAAGACTGACTATAATAGCCTTTGAACATTAGGTTCAGCAGACTCCATCTTTCCAAACTTAAATCCCCACAAGCTATAGGCTACACCTAGCTATGGAACATTGTTTCAGGTCCAGTTTGCATGCAGAGACATGTGTCAGATGAGTTTCAGAAATGGTTATGCTGAGCTGGAGCTTTGGCTAGTCAGCTGGCAAATTTAGTTCTGCCCCTCATTGACTCTTTACAGTACTGCACTTGCAGTAGATAAGTTCACATTGCTATAGTTATAAGTACCTGCTAAGCTCATCTACCACGGCTCGGCACAAGTCTGGTGTCCAATAGAGGCATGTGACATAAGCGTAATGAACTTGGAGACCCAGCTTTTCTACTTTCTTTGCTCTCTCTTTCTTTCCCTTCTTTTCTAAGTTTAGTAGGTTTTGGTTACATAAGCTTTTAATCTACATACAAACTGATTTCATATTAGCAATACACTGTAAATAATTATTATGCTATTAATTTCTCAAGTTCATTTAAAAAAGTGATACAATAACAAAAATTATAGTTAATCATGACACGTCCAAATATCTGTACACAAATATTGTAAAACGATTGTATTTTCAAAAATGGTGTTTTATTGATTTCTAATGCCGCTTTTTCTAATGTCTACTTAGCAGTTTTTTCTGCAACAATAATGTCTTTCAATTACAATTATTTTAGTATTTTCTTAGCAAATATTGGTGTTTATATATTGATCTGAAATATTAGCATGGTATTAAATTAATCATTTGAATAATAAATAGTCATATGTAATTAATTTGAAATGTCGACTTGACTGATAGCCCTAAACCTGCTTAAACACAGTACACACAAGTGTTGAGACTCAGGTATCACTGATTAAGTTAATTGTTGCATTTCCCAAATGCATATCTTATGACAAAACAGGGGTCATCGTGGCCTAGGTTTTGTTTTTTGATCATTAGCCAGCAATCAAAGAGCTCCTACTGTTTCATGGCTCCTCTAATGTGCTTGTCTTGGCAGAAATGTGACATCAACTGCTCTGGCTAGATACATAAGAAAACAGCAGAAGGATGAGAAAAATATTATGATCCAACTCCTCATTGTTTATGAGGGAGGCCCTCAATGGTCCCTAGGTTGGTGATTGTAATGTATTTATATTGCAGTATTAGAAAATGGTTATGCCCAGTAGAGCTATGCGAGGAAATAGAGATAACAGCACCATTTAGACCAGTGGAGCCAGAAGCACCGCTGAGCTTTTCAAATACAAAAGTATGATTATTGAAAGAACCGAGGAACTAAGCTGTGCCTGTATAGAAATACTGCATGTTCCAGGCTGTGTCTACAGCATTTGGCCTCATAATGCTGATATTTGTACTAATGGGTACAAGAGGAGGCATTTGAAGTCATAGTAAAATTGAGTTGAGGAAGCAGTCATACATTAAAATGATGGGGCAAGCGTCAATCATTATGGAGAAGCATTTAAAAGAAGTCAACATCACAAGGTCTAGCTCCACCAAAACAAGCGTCATACCCATAACACAGCTCTTTGGTAAAATGTCTCATCCTCAATGCATGGAGAGATAAATCCTGACACTCCAGATTTTGGCCTGCACAACAGGCACATACTTACACATATGCAAGCCATTTAAACAGAGAAACATGTCAAGAAAGAAGCCCTAAATAAAACGCCATGAGCTAAATGTGCTGATATCAGCCGAGAGCGGCTTCCTTCTGGCCCAAACCTCAGACGTCTCCTTAAATATTTATGGCTTTAATATGCTCGGGTCTTCTCTGCTCTTCAGATCCACCAACAAGTCCACTATATTTCAAAGCATCTCTGTTGTGTTTGCTCCCACCTTGCCGTACGACTCTATCTGTAGGTGTAAATGCAGTAGCTGTAGTACTTGCTGTGTGTATGAGAAGTACATAGAAGCTGTGTCTTGACGCTTATTCTTATGCATTGTTCAGTTTTTCTCCCCATCATACTGTATTGTGGCTTTTGGTTTAACACCCGTAACGAGTGCAGCTTGTATGTGTGTTTGAGTCTCAGCGGAGGCACATGCACAGAAGTGTGTTTTTTGTTCTGTATCAGGGTCAACATCACATGGGGCTTTTGATTAGCTCCAGGTGTGAATCTTGTGGCCCAATCGGACGAGGGGTTCTGGAAGTGTTCACAGCTGCGGATCCAGCTGGCACTGTGTGGGAAGACAGAAATAACAAAATTTCATTGAGCCAACAGGAAAAAGTCTACAGCAAAATATCAACAATGGTAGCTTTTATTGTCTGTAACCACGAGCAAGAGTAAATTGGATTCATTCTTAAACTAGGACAACAAACTAATGCAAACAACACAACAGAAATGTAATGCTTACTAAACGGAACTTCCAGCACCATGTTATTTGTTGTCAGTTTGCACAAATATCAGTGGATGTTTTGCAGTCATTTTTGTATTACTAGTTGCAGCAATTAAAACTGAAATTGAAAGCCAATCTTTCACTACACTAAAGTTTTTCTCTCCAAGGATGCATTAAATTGGTCAAAAGTGACAGTAAATATATTTATGTTGTTACAAATTTCAAATACATTTTGCTTTTGAACTTTTTATTCATCAAAGAATCAGGGGGGGAAATTACTGTATCATGCTTTCCACAAAAAATATTACACAGCACAAATGTTTTCAACACTGATAATAAGAAATGATTTATGAAAAAACAAATATCATGTGACACTTGGCTGCTGAAAATTCAGCTTTGCCATCACAGAAATAAGTTATATTTTAAAACATATTAAAATACAAAATAATATTACAATATTACTATTTAAATATTCAATATTACAATATTATTATTTCACAATATTACTGTTTTTACTTTATTTTTGATCAAATAAATGCAGCCTTGGTAAGCATAACAGTCAAAAACAAACAAACAAAAAACCTTACAGACCCCAAACATTTGAACGGTAGTGTATACATAATACAGTCCAAAGTCTGAGAGCACATTGAAAAATGATTTTATATATACCTAAATTAATTATTTATAATTATAATAATTATAAATTAATTATTTACCTAAATTAATTAATTTCATTCTTTTTTATTTTGAAAAGTTTACAACAAAAGTTATGATGCAAAATAAAGAATAAATATGTATAATTCTGCACTATTTCTATTTGATCATGTGACTTTTTACAGATGTTCAGATCAGGTTTCACACAAATTTGTGAAATAAAATCAGCTCAAGTGTTGCTGCCAAAAAAGCAATTAGGGGACAAACAAGACATTATGAAATTAATGTTATAAGATCAGTTCAGATCATCACTCAAATTGTTAATTTGCTTATAAACTGTAATAAAACATTTTATATTAAAGTAGCAACATTGCAGTTGCCTTAACGTATTTCCTAAATGTACATATTTTCTCTTTCTCTGCTTCTCCTCAGCTCCATATGTAAACTACATCCGTAAGGACCCTGGAGCTCCCTGCTCCCTGACCGAGGCTCTGGAGTACCTTCAAGTGGATGTCTTAGCAGACTTGATGGAGAAGGAACAACAATCAATCAATCAAAAGCAGCCACCCAAAAACAAGCCCCATAATGTCACTGTGGTTGCTATGGAGGGCTGTCACTCCTTTGTGATTTTGGACTGGGCACTTCCACTGAAAGATGACATGGTGTCTGGTGAGTGTGTGTAGCAGTTCCTTTTTTATTATTTAAAAAAATGCTTTTGCAGTTGCAAAACTGTGAAAAAATGACTTCTGATTGTCTGTAAGTTTCACCACAATGTTTGTTAGATGTAATACAAAAATACAAATTTACAAGCTTTCTTTTGCATCTTATATCATTTGGAGATTGGATCAAGATCCCAGTTGAAAAAAATGACTTTGTTAAATTGAACAAGTCCTGCGTTATTTATTACTTGATTTATGCTCGAGATGAGTGGTTTTATTTTCCATGGACTGCATTTCAGCTGCTTTTTCCAACATACCAAATGTGCAGCAATTTCTTAGAATGCATCAAATAGATGTGAAAAACATCCAATCTAGTTTATGGTTAATCTTATAATGTTCTGTTCCTCTATCTGCCATGTGTAAATCTCATAAAGCAAGTTAATCATGCATGGGCCTGTTTGATAGCAACACTGAAAAAGATTTATAGCACCAAATACTGATAGAGAAAAGGCACATCAGACATGTCAACATGAATTTAGTGATTTGAAAATTGGGAAAGACTGCTATGCAATTAGCTAATTAACTGCATGCTTTCCTCGTTTGGTAACAGCATGACGTTAAAGGGATAGTTCACCCAACAATGAAAATTCTGTTGTTCGCGTCATTCCAAACCATTCATTAATTTTTCTTCTGTGGAACATAAAAGAAGATATTTTGAGAAAGGTTTTGTCATCCATATATTGGAAGTCAGTGGTCACCCAACATTCTTCAAAACTGTGTTCCACAGAAGAAAGAAATGAATAAAATGGGTGAGTACATCATGACAGATCTATCCACTTAAGTGTGCAGGCATACAGCGCTGTCATTTGTGAATTGGCACATTCCATAATATATCTCCCTTTAATAGAAAGCTGTGTTTACTGTAAAATCAATAGAGCTGGCTTAATTTCGTAATTTTGTTTGTATGGTTTTGAAATAAGATGGAGGATAGTGCGCTGAAATGTCTTATTCTGAAGTACCCCAACTGTCTTACATGCCGCCTGGTTTCCATTTAATGTGCATTACAAAACACAAAACTATATGTAACACTTCTCTAATATATTGACCCTGACAGTTTCATCCTGATTCACACAAACAGGGAGGCCATTCCCACAGCCACTGTTAGTGTCATGATATGATGTGTGCTAGGTTTAAATGCGGGGGATTCCCTGCCAACTGATAACCGATGCTTAGATGAATGGAGCAACTTTTTTAACACATGAAAAATAACATCCACATGCTCTTGAATAAAATTGTACAAGGCAGTCTAATGTTACTGTAGGGGTTTCATGGTGCCTTTTGCATCACTAGACCTAAAGCATTTATTTGTACATGATACTGTACATTTACAAATTCATTCAATATTTATTAGTGTGTGCATATACTGACAGTGTTGCTATCACAGACTCCAGAAATCCATCCGAAAAATCTGAACCCAAACTTTTGAATCGTATTTTATGTAAAGTTAGCAAATGATGGTTATCGACAACTGACATTGCTTGCAGAACCTTGTTTCTTCAACAATCTCTTTTAATAAAAAAACAATTTTCTCCACTCTGCTTCACTCCTTTTCAGTCGTCCTGCCTTCTTTCATAAGCTTCACTCCTGCACTGCCTCTCTCTTTCATATTAAATGATGGAAAATACACGCATGTGCTTTATATACATCCTGCTGCCTTGGCAGGAGTTTAGTCTTTCCATGACATAATAAGGAACTAGAATTATATTGAGGAATCGCTGCACAGACATGACCAATACATGCTCATTTATTTGAATCTCTCACATTTAGAGTATGCTTTAATTGTTCGCCTTCTCTTTTATAGGCTATATGGTACACAGTGCATCCTATGATGATGTCTTAAATAACAGATGGTCAACCAGATCCTCAAGTGGAACCCACCTCCCTGTTGAAAATCTCAAGCCCAATTCTAGGTGCGATCTAGCATGTGACAGCTCTCATGCACACAGACACAAACATATTCCATTAATTTATAAACTAATTTACAAGCTTCTGCATGCTTGTGCTTGCACATTTAAACATCTGTGTTCTATAGTCCACAATACAAAATACAAAGCAGGTCTGAGTTCTCAGTGGAGATCTTTTGGGAGGCCTCCTAAATCATGCTTAATCCATGAACTCCAACAATATGATAGGAAGCTGTCTGTGAGGCTTGCTGGTATACTAAGCTATAAAATCATTACCACTTACTTTATTGAACATAAATTTATATGAGTGTCATTTATCTTCCCCTTGTTGTGCGACATTGTCTAGAAATAGTGATGTATATTTTTCCAAACATCTTTTGCTAAGTCTGAAACTATCTCTGACAGGATAACTGATCTAAGATGTAGTTGAATATGTTAAATATGTGACAGGGAGCTGGGGACTAATATATAATTAGTAGGGGTGTCGTAGTTAACTCGTTAATGCATATATTCAGTTTCACATCATATCGGTTGCATTCTGTATTGTGTGATTTCTAACTAATCTGAATCTTTGGAGCAGATTGGAACTGACAAATCAAACTCAGACAAGATGTTTAACAAACGTCAATTGCATTCATTAATTTTTTTGGCTTTTTTTTTTTTTAAGTATGGTGAAATGTAATTATCATCAAAGCTTTTTTTCAGAAAACAAAAAATAAAAAATTTACAGTAAAGATATTTATATTTTACAAAAGATTTATTTTGTACTTCCTATTCAGTGAGATGAATGCTGAAAAGAATCAGTCTCCACAAAAAACGGCACAACTGTTAGTAGTCATTTTAATTTATAATAATAATAATAATAATAATAAATGTTTCTTACGCTCTTTTAATCAGCTTATGATTTATGATAAGTAATGACTGCTGAAAATTTACAGGAATAAATGTAAAAAATCAAATTTAAATGAAATTGTAATAATATTTTACAATATTTACTGAAATAAATGCAGCCTTGGTTCACGAAAGAGACCGGTTTCAAAAACATTACAAAATCTTACTGACACCAAATTTTTTTGAACAACAGTGGAAATAATTGGTTGTTTTTGAACAAATAAAGAGCACTCTTGCATACATTTCAGTTTCAAATAGCATATTATTTAATCTTCTTTCATTGAAAAAGAATTTCATGCTAACTATAAAAAAGATTAAGTGACATTAATTATTTTAGACTAACAGCCCTAATAATTATTTCATAATTATTGTCCTGTCACCCTCCAAAAAAAAAAAGAGCTAGAGAAACTGCTATTTTATGCTGTGGAAACAAGACTCAATTTCAACCATATTGACTGAACTGCACTGTCTACATGTGTCTGTTTCTTGAATGCTGCTCTTACTTTATCGTTGTAAACCCTTACCAACTCATTTTTGCAGCAGTAGATAAGGGAGGTGTTTATGGGCTGTCTGGATATTTCCCACAAATGTGAAGTCATTTCTGCCTACCAGACCCATCTAATCGTTTTCTTCACTAAGTACTGGTGCATTACAGCAGGCATGATCTGTCCCACAGAATTGGAACGCCTGTCATTCCGAAAGTTCTGCACATCCCTTACTAATTTTGATTCATTAAATGTGTTTGCTGATTCAGTAATGATTTCAAAGTGTATCACTCTCAGCACATATTTAGCTTTAAAATCAGCGCAGAAAATGCAAAAAACATGCGCAGATCTCGTCTGGACCTGCACACGGGTTATGCACGCATGCATAAATGCATGCAGCTGTGTGAAACGCCCCAGGTTTGATTGACGTTTGTTTTGTACACTTTCCCAGACAGGCAGATGCACTCTCTCCATCACTACCTTGAGAAAACACATGAATGCATATGCACTCATTAGAGATGTTTGGTTCATAAGTGTGGAATGTGAGGATGAAGTTGTTTTTATTGTCCTCTGGGATTCATTTAGAAGCCTCTGTTATTATAGCCTTTCAGCCAAGCTCAGTGACTGACAACTTTATAATTCAGCCATGAAGTGTTGATAAGTTTTAGGAATGATTTGTAATAGCTTTTAGTACTAGGTGAATAGTCTAGACTGCGGACAATAACAGCTCCTTCTTAGTCCAAGTAACAATGACAAACCACTTGGATGCCATATCGAGACTGGATCTTGCATCAATTCCATAAAGAGTTATGGTCAGAAGAACAAGGAAAAATAGGACACATCCACATACGCATATACTTAATAATATATGGTCAAAAGGACAAGAAAAATTGCACGTGGACACAGAAACAGTAACACACACATCTTACTTGAAATATGACAGGCCCCCTTCCACTGGCGGTCTGACTGTAATTGTACATTTTCTCTTTATTTTGGTCAGAGTTTCCACGTGGTTGTGCTAATTTGATCCAGCAGTGCTGCTTTTATGTTATTAAACGGGTCCTGAGTTAAACCAAGTGAAGCGTGAGCTTACTGAACAGCCTCTCACTGGCACAACAGAAGGCTGTGAGTGCTGTTACCGCTGCACTTTGAACTTCATCACACTTCTCTGTTTTAATTTCTTTACTTGTCTAATTTATCCTCTAAGGTAAAGGATGTGCCAGAGTCAGAGCAGAATAAGTGGTTGTGGTCTGGTATTTGTCACAAAGAGGTTTCGTCGGATTGGAAGTTCCATGTTGATGTGTTATTCTCTTGCTCACCCTCTGACATGCAGTCTCTTCTTGTCCTTACACTTTTTTAGCCTTCTCTTTTGCCAGAGGCTCACTCTTATAACTTTCTCTCATGCATGTTTTATTCATGCAAAATTTAACTGTGCCCTTTCTTTTTTTCCCTTTTCCTACCCTTTTTCTTTTCATTTTCCAACCTTTTTTCATCTTTTTCTTTTCTTTTTTCCCATCCTATTTTAATTTAATCGGAAATAGTACAGTTAAGCGTTAGCGGTTATCCGTAAAATTATACTGGATAATGTCCTGGCAGAAAATTGCAAGTATATTTTCCATTATTTTTTTATTTATTATATTATCTGTGTGTGTGTGTGTGTGTGTTTTATTTCCTATGCCTTTTCTTTTCCTTTTTTCTTTTCCTACACATTATCGCTCACACTTTATTTTAAGGTTCAATTCTTGCTATTAACAAACCATTAACTATGACTTTTGCCTCAATAAACTCCTAATTTGCTGCTTATTCATCGTTAGTAAGGTAGTTGTTAAGGTTAGGTATTGGGTAGGATTAGGGATGTAGAATATGGTCATGCAGAATATGTGCTTTATAGGTACTAATAAACAGCCAGTATGTTAATAATTATAGTCATGTTAATAAGCAACTAGTTAACAGTGAGAATTGGTCCCTATACTAAAGTATTACCACATTTTCCTTTTTCTTTCTTTTCATTTGTATTAATTTTCTCTCTATTTCTTTCCACTTTTAATACATTTCTGTGTCATTCAATCCTTATGCTCTCATTGTAACATTAGGAGTGAGTGTTTGAGTTTTATACATACATAAGGTGCTTTTGTAAAACAAAATTGTCTCTTCATGCAAACCATGATTTTAAAATAATAAATACAGGTTTCATTCTTGTTCTCAGGTATTACTTCAAAGTTCAAGCAAAGAATATCTTTGGACTGGGGCCACTCAGTGAAACTTTAACATATGTCACAGAATCAGGTGAGTCTTCTTTTGTTTGAACCCAGATAAGGGTTGTTTGATTCAAACATATTCATAAATACCAAATAAATCTGTTTTATTTTTTTTTATCTAGATGATCCCCTGCTCATAGAGAGACCCCCAGGTAAGAGATACATCATTACACGTTACATTATTGCAAGTTTGAGTTAACCTTTAAAACATTGATGTGCTAAAAAGATCTGCACGTGACTTTTTTATTGCTGGTATGCTGGAGTTGAATGCTGGTATACCAGTTTTGATTGCACTAACCAGCAAAACATTCATCATTGTTACCGTTTTCGTGATATTATCCAACAGTAATGACCTAAAATTAAAAACAAAATTGTAATTGGCATTCATTTCCTTTCTAGGTGGGGAGCCCATCTGGATCCCATTCTCATTCAGGTATAACCCCGCCCACAGTTCTTGTAAAGGAAGTCAGTTTGTCAAGCGCACCTGGTATAGGAAGTTTGTCGGCGTCGTCCTCTGCAACTCGCTGCGCTATAAGATCTTCATGGGAGATGGACTGAGAGGTGCTGACCTTTCTTTCGAACAACATAATACATTTAAAACTTTAATCTAATGATTAGTGTGTCTGTAATATGAAGCGCTGGCCTAAAAGCCTTGGAGCAATCCGATCCAAACCACAGTTTCCCTCAGCTAAACACAAGGCGCTGTCTGAGGTTTGGGTCCTGAGGGATACTCAAGCTACGACTGTTTTCCATTTCAGAACCATTCTACAGCATTTCTGATACATTTGGCCATGGAGAGGACCACTGCCAGTTTGTGGACTCTTATCTAGATGGAAGAACAGGACCACACAATCTCTCCCTCAACCTACCCACAGCTCAAGGTACGACATACATGAGTGTGCTCTGTAGTTTGTCTTCACTTCAAGCCTCAGATCATCATGTCATGTGTCTGTTTACTTACTGCCGCTTAAGAGGGTGATCAGTCAGCACTGTAACATGATGTCGTTTGTGGATTTCAGGATATTATCGGTCATACAGACAAGAGCCAGTGAATTTCGGGGCCATCGGCAGGCGCACACCACATCCTTTCGTTGGCTGGTATGAATGTGGAGTTCCAATCCCTGGAAAGTGGTAACAGGGGGAAACTCCAAGAGGACATTTCCACAGGCAATCACATTCCACGTGTTCTGTTCCTATATCTATATGCCAATCACAGAGGTGAACCATTGCTCACCATGGCATCCAAACCTAAATCATATAGCAACTGCTTCTGACGGAAGGAATATAGTACTTTGAGTAACACTAATATTTCTACATATTCGATATCAAGCACTTTTTGAAAAAATCAGTCTGTATATGAGGAAATTGCAGCATGTGTATTTGAGTGTATTAACAATGTTTTGTTTTCATGTGTTGCATAATAGTAATTATTTCACATTCCATTCCATCTGGAATATTTCTCTTACAGTAACTTCAAAGAAACAAATTAGTGGCTAGTTAAATATCAAAGCACAACATCAAATGACTACGTAATGTCTGGGAAGATGACATATGCGATGATGTAACAAATTTTCTGTGAGTGATGTTTGCTGTTGTTTATATAACTTGCTGAGGTTTTGTAATCTTACATTTTTGTATTACCCTCTTTTTGAACAAAGGTTGGCATGAAAGTATTGCCCATATTAGGGCAGACTGAAAAAAATATTTTTATTTTCTCAGGAACGGTTAAAATTTGAATAAAGGTGCTATGGAGAAAATGTAACGTTTTTATCTCCCATTGATGCATAAGAAGTTAGATCATATAAAATAATTGTATATTATAGTTTTAATTCAATTTTATATGAATTACATTGATCAGCAATACTACTAATCACTTTTGCGAACTTTGAATACCCACACCGCTACATTTCTAGAAAAAAAACTAAGAGTACATTTTATTATGTGCACAGTGTATTAACAGAGTACAAAAATAAAAGTCAGGGAACTATTACAGTCACCGTCTTAATACATTTCATGTATCCAGCACGTTGTCAAGAATGGTTGAATTCTTTTTGATTGAAATGTATGTGTTTGTGGTCATGCCGCTGAGGTGGGCTTCCCACATAATAATAGGTGGTAATAAGTGATCCTCCCATTCTAAATCTTTTTCGGATTAGGTGTTTTAGCAATAACCCTTTATTCTGACACATTTAAAAGCCTATAACTTCTAAAATTACAAATACCTAGAAAGCTCTTTCCTCCTACACGCCACGCAATAAATTTTATTGCACTTCATATCTCTTTTTTACATTTTAATTTATTATTCCCAACTTTTGTACAAGAAGAAGACTGGATACTTTCCCATCAATTAAAATAAACAATACTTATGGCATGCCTGCTCAATAACTGGCATTCAGTCACATATTCTGGCATTGTTAGAAAGGTGCGTCATCATTTGGCTTGCCTGCCATAATTGTCTCACTCTGGCATCAGCTGGATTCAAATCGAAATAGAAAAAGCAAGGTTCTTATCTGTGAGTACAGCATTTCCTTATCATTAAGTAAAATCCACTGATGTTTTATTTGGCATCCGGTCACAATCCACATGCCTAAGGGATCTCTTATGTGTTTTTCCAGGGTTTGGTGTTGAAATGATTATTTTCAAGAACAGACAATAACTGAGCTATATTAGAACATCATCTGTCCATTTTAAGAGTAGACTTGCCTTGCTTGCCTTTACTTGCCCTCATTCAGTCAACAAATATCTGTAGAGCTCAAATCACAAATCAAATCTAAAACTTTTGGCTATTTACAAGAAAATCTAAATGTATCAATTCATCTTCTGTAAGAGGAACCGCCTTTATAGATAATGAGTTTGATGTGGGTTGCCACATCAGAGAGAGAGCAAAACGAGACTGGACAAACCCATCTGCTTAAGATGTTAAAAGAGGAAGCGGGTGAGAGAAAGATTGTTTCTACAAAAGCACTTTATGACTTTCATGCAGAGTGGCATGCAATGAAACAATATCTTGTGGTAAATATATTTACAAACATGGAAGATGTCGTGGGTTTGGAGAACATGAGGGAAATCTGAGCCGGTCAGTGATCTTGTCATCGCAACGGCCACATAACATTGCCACATGGGAACCATAATCAAATATCTAAGGTTTCAAGTTGTTTACTTCACTCCAACAAAAGATAGCACTACATGTCACACACTTCACTTACATTTTTCCAAGCAATAATGGAATCAGAGAGACCTGAAACCATCCGGTAAAATGAAACATTTCAAGGGCCAAAATGTAAGTTTCTGATTGGCTGCGGAGTAAAGTTCATAATTTTACTGATGGCAGTTTCCACTGGGCAACATAACAGAATTTCCATATACAGGTCTGTGTGCAATTATTTATATTTGAAGTATTTTATGACTAATCTGTGGCATAAAATTAGGTCATAAAAGGTCATTTGCTTATCAAAGATATTTTACTTATAAAGTATTATAGATACTTGACTTTACTACTTATTATTTTACTTAATAAAGCCATTAAGCATGTAGTGTTTTGAAAAATCATTGACAATAATGAGTGTCTACCCAATGAAGCTACACTGGGAATTAAAGCATTAAAAAACCATTACCCTTTAATTCTGTGGAGAACCACACATGTGAGGCCTCAAACTCTGTTAAACGATCCTATTAATGGCTACACACGTAGTGTTCCCTCTTTTGTTTTGGCCAGATGCTTTTGTAAACCCTAACGCCTGTAGGCAAAACCAAGCAATTACGACTGCCTTGTAATGTGGTTCATTTAAACAGTTCTGAAGATTTACAATGTGTTTGTAAATCTGGATTTTGTCTATTTTTCTTTTTGGATGTTGTATCAATGTAATTTAAAAAGAAATGCTATTTGGTAAGTGATTTTCTTCAGATGAGACCCGGTTTTCTTATATTTAAATATGGGACACAATTAGCTAAAATTTTGGATAACAGTATAGTTACTTAAAATGAAGTAAAGCAGGATCTAAACTGTTTTCCACATGCTATTTGTGCATCTCTTTTCAAAGTAGGTCATGCGCTACTTGGGCTGGAAAATGTTACCACTCATACTAAAAGGATTAAATCATCGAAAGAAAGTCAGGACAGAGAGAGCAAAGAAAGTGGGTGAGAGAGCGATTAACCTGCTGAAAAAAAATGCCATAATGCTTATAATCCACCGTAGCTGCATGTTTATCTGTTATTGATTTGTTTGAGTCATTAATATTTCTCAAAGACACACTGGGAGTTCATTCATTATTACTGAATTCTGTCAAATAAATGTACTGTAACAAGAAATGTGTTAATGTGCTATAAAGAGCATCGCAAAGCAATGAGACGTAAAATGAAAGCAGTATTCTCTCAAAAGGTTTTTTTTTTTGCACAAAAATACATTTACAAATGCTGAGGTAAAGTTCTGTTTAATACATTTGGCACAGAGTGACATCCAGATACGATCTACATGTGTCTTGATAAGTGAATCATTTCTGCCTCTCTGTGCTTCGTCTTACTCAGAGTATCTGTGCAAGATTACCAGCCTCAGCCGGTGCCAGACTACAGCAGACTGTGCTGAGGGCCAGTTTGAGTTTTTATGTCCCCGCTATACAATCCAGAACATGACAGAATGATTTGAGCAAGTCTTTACAGTGATAATCAATAAGGCTACTACATTATTGGGATCATGTCCCCATCATGAACTCATTGACTGCTATATAGGAGAAGGATTCTGGCTTTCTGTAAGTCTCACACAAGTTTGACCAGGACAGATAAGTCATTTATATCCAAGCTCTGGTGTTTTTCTAGCGCCTGGAAGTTTAATATGTACCCTGTGTACTTTTAACATAGATTTACATAGACTGGGTTTCCCTGCCAATCTGGCAGAGTTTAATGTTTTAAAACTACCACCAGTCCCAGGGTGTGATTGATAATTTAAAATTAATCTCTGTAATACCATGTTTGGCACCCATTTTAGTCATGCGTAAAACCGCTGTGCTTTGTGAGAGGTACTGGCCTCTCTGTGGTGAAGGGCAAAAGGCCCACCGCTGTAAAATCGTTTAAAAGCAGTCAAAGGTTGTGCTGGTGTGTAAAGTGTTTTGTGCACCATTAGGACACATAAGAGAGAGTGTAAGGCTGTAAATTAAAGCATTGTTGACAACACAATTTAGCACTAGCTTAGAAAAGTCTTACATCACAGGTCAGATTTTGGTGTAACGTAGGAAACACACAAAGACAAAAATATATAAAATTATATATAATGCAAAAAAATATGTAATACAAAGCTTTAAGATTGAAGCATAAGATGAACATAAATTAAGTGGTGCACAATACTTTATGTATTCACATCCCACCTTTAAGAAATTATATTTCCCATAACTTTCTGATACAATTAACAGCAGATAAAAAATATTTATTATTTTAGATTTATGATTTATTATGTTAAATATATTTATTATGTTCAATTAATAATACAATTTTTTTTTGTATTTTTGTAATTTTGCTATGTGCTTTTGACATTGTATTATTATTATTATTATTAGTCTTTTTTTTTTTATTTCAGTTCTAGTTTTAGTAATTTTGGTACATGAGCAGCTTATACTATATGTCTGTTAAGGCAACATTTCATCTAATGTTAAAACTTTGATTTATTTGTATTTATTTTCTTTTCTTTTTCTTCTCTGTTTATTTAAATGACCAAAAATATTTTTTTTTAGTCAACAATAACAACATTGGTTCAAAAGTAACCTTTTCAAATGGAATGATTAAAAAAAAACGAATGAAAAAAGGTTTTTTTTTCATCCATAAATGGGAATGTGCTTAGAAAGGGCCTCACTGTGATGGAAAATTAATGGTCATTGAACAGAGACAAAATACACTAGATCTGGAACTCATTAATGCAAGATCTGGTTACATACAGTATGTGTATCAGAGCTTGTAACATATTATCGGACATTCATGTGAATTATATTCACGTTTCATTTTTATCTTGTTTTTTTCATTGAACAGAGACAAAATACACTAGATCTGGAACTCATTAATGCAAGATCTGGTTACATACAGTATGTGTATCAGAGCTTGTAACATACAGTGGGGAAAAAAAGTATTTAGTCAGCCACCAATTGTGCAAGTTCTTGTTTTTTGCTACCTGTATCACAATCTCCAACAATCAAAGGAAAATCACTCACAGCTTTTTCATCTCCTAGAATACCTGAGACATGATGTAATATGTTTCTGGAGTTCTTGGTGGTTACTCCCTCTTGCATTGCAGTTATTTCCCAGTTATTTTTTTTTCATTCCAGCTAGGAACAAACCTGCCAAAACGCAGACTCACCTCACCTCCGCATGGAAAACCTGTCATAACTCACCAGAAGAGATGTAAACATGCAGCAGAGAGAGCAAGGACCCAGAGTTCCTGCATCCAGACGGCTGCTCCGAGCCAACTAACCCTGCCACAGAGAGGCATTGCATTTATGGGACTCTGGAAATCACATAAATATATACACTTATATTATGTATATTGTTAATATAACATGCTTTGGTATTATTTTGGTATGGTGCAATAACCAAACAGTGTCAAAAGGTTTCAGTAATTATTCCAGCAGCACAAGGACCCTGATATTATACACAGTGTTACATAATCACCCATCCGCCTGTGCACATTATTACTTCTAGACATGAGACTCATGAGGACAAAAAACGCAGCGCTCCACCCGTCTGACAGAGCACTATTTGTTATTGTGTTTGGGTGTAACCACGGACCACTCCACGTGACAAGACTGCTGTGTGTGCACAAGTAGGTGTATATATTTCTATTTCAAATATATTCAGTATCTGATTACACTCACACAGCCTAGAATGATTCCACGTTTTCTTTCCCCAAGTTGAGGAAGTGACATCCATACAAATGGTTATTGTCTGAAGTAGCCTAGATGAATAGTCTGAAAGGGCTTTTCCAGTGTGCTTGCTGAGG